TTATACGCATTTTCACTTTCATTAATTTTTTAACTTATTTTTTTTCGTTCAATTTCTTGTTTTTTTCGGCATTTTTTTGGCATTTTGGACTGCAAACATACCAGAAAATAGAGGTTAACTGAAACTTTATTTGTTCATAAACTCTAAATGTGAGTCTGAACTTGGATTTTTCAGATGGAATTTGCTGGTGCTTTCTACGTCAATGTATTTTTGAAGAAGAATTATATTGCTTTTTGCATTGCAAATATTGCTTTAAAGGTTTTTCTTTAATATCGAAAACTCAGATTTACATAAAACGCTGAAGGAAGCCTTTTTTTGAACACCAATATGAAGTAGTACCGTTAGCCAGAATTAGGTGAGCTAAAAAATTTCAGATTGATGTTTTCCAGGTTATCCAAATATCGAAAGTTGAAAAACGCCGTGTTATTGTTGACTTCTCATCACCAAATATTGCCAAAGAAGTGCATGTTGGCACTTACGATCGACGATTATTGGCGATAGCATTTGCCGCTTGCTGGAATATGTGCCCTTTGATGTAAGTTGAATATAGATCACACGAGTTTTTTTAGGAAGGAGAAGGGTGACTGAAGAAATAAGATAGCGGTAGTAATCAAGGACCAAAGTTCAAATGGCTTGCCTTCTCTTAGGAGACATTTTTTTAGTTTTTTAGCTTAAAGGTCGAAATTTTTTAGTAAGACCTTTTGGAATAAAGTGCATTTCTCTGTTGTGTGCTTCCTGAACAGTATCTATATTTTTACTTCATTTTGATGATTGTCTGTATTTTTTGCTTAATTCCAGGGCAGCTAAAATTGAATAAATATTCATAATGCTTTGAGGTTTTCTTTCGGTTCTTCGGCTGAACCATATTGGCGATTGGGGCACACTGTTTGACATGATTATTGCACATTTGCAAGGTTGTTTCCCGAATTTCCCAAATGAAGTGCGTCCAATTTCAGACTTACAAGCCTTTTATAAGGTACACAGATTTTACTTCTTATCAACGGTTCTTTTGCTGTGACGTAGTTCGCTATTTTTAAAGATGCGCTGCCATCCAAAGTATTGCGAAGTAGCGACTTGAATGATTTTGCGAGCTCAGCTTTTGTAAGTATTATTTTCCGCGGGTATTACAGGAATCGAAAAACCGTTTTGACAGCGACGAAACGTTTAAAGCACACGCCTACGACTGTTTTGCAAAGCTGCACGCTTACCAAGGGTAAGGGACTCAGTGCATCAACACTTTGAGAAGCTAGAACGCTCAAATCTTACAGTGATGTTCCCCTTGCAAGTCGGTGTCGATGCGCTGAACCCCATACCCCAGGTAAGCTTGGTAGCCGCGTAAGGGCCCACCGAATTATTTTTTCGGTGAGCTTATAACTCGAGAATTTGAGAAGCTAGAGCGCTCAGATCCAAGGATGATGTTCCCCATGCAAGTTAGTGTTGATGCACTGAAACCCAACCTCAGGTAAGCGTAATAGCCGCGTACGGGTCCGCCGAATTTTTTTTTCTCGGTGAATTCATAACTCGGGAATTTGAGAAGCTAGAACGCTTACATCCCGGGGTGATGTTCCCCATCCGAGTCAGTGTTGATGCATTGGGTCCCATTCCCCAGATAAGTGTGGCAGCCGCGTGCGGGCCCGCAGAATTTTTTTCTCGGTGAATTAGTGTCTCGAAAGTTTGAGCAGCTAGAACGCTCAAATCCTAGGGTGACGTTCCCTATCCTAGTCGGTGTTGATGAACTGAATCCCGTCCCTCAGGTAAGCGTGGTAGCCGCGTACGGGCCCGCCGAATTTTTTTCGGTGAGTTCAAAGCTCCTGAATTTGAGAAGCCAAAACGCTCAGATCCCAGGGTGATGTCCCCTGTCTTAGTCGGTGTTGATGCACTGAATCCCATCCCCCAGATAAGCGCAGTGGCCGCGTACCGGCCGGCCAAATTTTTTTTTTTTCAGCCAGTTCATAGCTCGGGAATTTGAGAAGCTGGAACACTCAAATCCCTGGGTTTTGTTCCCCATCCTAGTCGAGGTTGATGCACTGGACACCATCCCCTGGTGGGCACGGAACTCGTGTACGGGGCGCCAAGCATTTTTTAGCACATGTTCAAAACTGGGTTGTCTTAGAAGCTAGAGCACTGAAATCATAGGAAGATATTCGCCGTCCAAGTAGGTGTTAATGCACTTAAATCTATTTCCCTGGTTGACGCGGTACTCGTGTACGGGGGCGCCAATTTTTTTTGGCAGGAATTTATAATTGGGTTGTCTTAAAAGCTAGAGCGCTGAAATCGTAGGATGATATTCGCCATCCAAGTAGGTGTTAATGCACCTAAATCTGTTCCCCTGGTAGGCGCGGTACTAGCGTACGGTTCGCCAAATTTCTATTAGCACAAGTTTAAAACCTGGTTATCTTAGAAGCTAGAGGGCTGAAATCATAGGATGATGTTCGTCGTACAAGTAGGTGTTAATGCACTTAAATCTATCTTCCTGGTAAGCGCGGTACTCGCGAACGAGGGCGCCAAATTTTTTTGTCAGGATTTCATAATTCGGTTCACTTAGAAGCTAGAGCGCTGAAATCATATGAGGACGTTCCTCGTCCAAATAGGTGTTAATGCACATAAATCTATCCCGCTGGTAGGCGCGACGCTCGCTTAGGGGGCGCCAAATTTTATTGGCAGGAGTTCATAATTCGCTTGTCTTTGAAGCTAGAGCGCTGAGACCATATGAGGACGTTCCTTCTCCAAGTAGGTATTAATGCACTTATATCTATCCCCCTGGTAGGCGCGGTGCTCGCGTACGGAGGCGCCAAACTTTTTTTAGCACAAGTTCAAAGCTGGGCTATCTTAGAAGCTAGAGCGCTGAAATCATAGGAGAATGTTCCTCTTCAAAGTAGGTGTTAAAACAAGACAAGCCTGGTAGCCGCGTACGGGCCCGCCGAATTTTTTTACGGTGATTTCATAGCTCGGAAATTTGAGAAGCTAGAACACCCAAATCCTAGGATAATGTTCGCCATGAAGTCGTTGTCGACGTGCTGAATCCCCTCTCCCAGATAAGCGTGGAAGTAGCGTACGGGCACGCCGCATTTTCTCTTCGGTGAGTTCATATCTCGGGAATTTGAGAAGCTAGAACGCTCAAATCCTAGGGTGATGTTCCCTATCCTAGTCGGTGTTGATGTACTGAATCCCATACCCCAGGTAAATGTAATAGCCGCGTACGAGCGCGCAGAATTTTTTTTTCAGTGAATTCATAGCCCGGAAATTTGAGAAGCTAGAACGCCCAAATCCCTGGTTGATGTTCCATATCCGAGTCGGTGATGATGCACTGAATCCCATCCCTCAGGTAAGCATTGTAACCGCGCACGGGACCGCCGAATTTTTTTCGATGAGTTCACAACTCGGGGATTTGAGAAGCTTAAACGCTCAAATCCTGGGTTTATGTTCCCCATGCAAGTTTATGTTGACGCACTGAATCCCATACCCCATGTAAGCGTGGTAGCCGCGTGCGGGCCCGCAGAATTTTTCTCTCGGTGAGTTCACATTTGGGAAGTTTGAGAAGCTATAACGCTCAAATCCTAGGGAAGTTTGAGAAGAAGGAACCAGTATAAATCTACCACAAAAACGAACGAATCCAGTCTACATACTAATGATACCAGCGGATAATTCTGCCCGGGTAGCTGTCTCATTGTGGACCATTTTATTGGAGCAGGTACTAGTAAATTATGCTGTGCGTTTAAGTGCTGAAAAATTAACCCGTCAGCAGTGTTTGGAGGAGGCAGATTTGATCAGCGTTTGTCGGGGTATTTCAGCTCCGCAATCAAGCACTGGGTATTATTCATTTTCATAATGCAAAATTTACGGCGATTTGCCGCGTTAAGTTAAAAGCAACAACATTCAAGAATAGCGCAAAAATGCATAGTCGCGCTGGCAAGCCAGGTGCGTTCCTGCCGGGGTTTCCATTACCTAATCCTATTATGAAGTGCGGAATCAACTGTGAGTCGAACCCGGAACGCCAGACTCGTAGACGGCCACTTCTCCGCTGCGCCAAAAGCGCGGTCGAGGCCAGTGGCAGGTGTAAAACCCAGACAGAGAGCCCGGCGCAGCGGGCAGGCACTTTGCCGATAGGCCGCCGATACAATGCGGGCAGTGGGCAGGGATCGAACCCGGGATTCCGTTGCTCGTCCGCTGATGATTATGCTTCAGGGTCAGCTTCATAACTCGGGAAATTGAGGAGCTGGAACTCTGAAATATTAGGGTGATGTTCCCCATGCAAGTAGGTGTTGATGGAGCGTAGCAGCCGCATACGGGCCCACCGAACTTCTCTTTCGGCGTGTTCATAACTAGGGAGTTTGAGAAGCTTAAGTGCTCAAATCGTAGAGTGATGTTCCCCATGCAAGTCTTTGTCGACGCACTGAATCAAATACCCCAGGTTAGCGTAATACCGCGTACGAGCACGCCAATTTTTTTTTTTTCGGTGGGTTCATAACAAGCTAGAACACTTAAACCTTACAGTAACGTCACCCATGCTAGTCGGTGTTGATGCACTGAATCCCACATCCCATGTAAGCGTGGTAGCCGCGTGTGGACCCGCAGAATTTTTCTCTCGGTGAGTTCACAACTGGGAAGTTTGAGAAGCTAGAACGCTCAAATCCTAGGGTGATGTTCCCCATACTAGTCGATGTTCATGCACTGAATCCCATACGCCAGGTAAGCGTTATAGCCGCGCACGGGCACGCTAAATTTTTTTTTCTGTGAATTCATAACTCGGAAACTTGAGAAGCTAGAACGCTGAAACGTTAGGGTGACTTCAAGTGGGTGGATTTGCTGAAATCCATCCCCCAGGTAAGCGCGCATGCCGCGTAATGGCCTGTCAAATTTTTTTTTTTTGGTGAGTTCATAACTCGGAAACTTGAGAAGCTGGAACGCTGAAACCTGAGGGTGATGTTCTCCATCCAAATCGGTGATGATGCACTCAATCCCAGCCCTCAGTTAAGCGTGGCAGCCGCGTGCGGGCCCACCGAATTTCTTTTTCGGTGAGTTCATAACTCGGAAATTTGAGAAGCTGGAACGCTGAAACCTTAGGGTAATGTTCCCCATCTAAATCGGTGTTGATGCACTGAATCCCATACCCCATGTAAGCGTAATAGCCGCGTACGGGCACGCCAAATTCATTTCAGTGAGTTCAAAACTCGGGAAAATGAGGCACCAGAACACTCATATCTTACAGTGATGTTCCCTATCGGTGTCGGAGTTGATGCACTGAATGCCGTCCCTCAGGTAAGCGTAATAGCCGCGTTCGGGCCCGCCGAATTTCTTTATCGGTGTGCTCATAACTTGGGAGTTTGAGAAGCTAGAGCGCTCAAATCCCAGGACAGTGTTCCCCATGCAAGGCCGTGTTGACGCACTGAATCCCAAACCCCAGATACGCGTAATAGCCGCGTACGTGCGCGCCAAATTTTTTTTCGGTGAGTTCATAACTCGGGAGTTTGAGAAGCTAGAGCGCTCAAATTTCAGGGTGATGTTCCCCATCATTGTCGGTGTTGATGAGCTGAAATCCGTAGGCAGGGTAAGCGTAATAGCCGTGTACGGGCACGCCAAACCTTCTTTGGCGTAAGTTCATAACTCGGGGCTCTGATAAGCCAGAACGCTGAAATTACAGTATGATGTTCCTCGTCCAAGTACCTGTTAATGCACTAAATCCCGTCACCCGGGAAAGCATGGCAACCGCGTAAACGTCTTTCAAACCTTTTTTGGCGTAGCTTCATAGTTCGGGGATCTGGGAAGCTAGAACGGTGCAGTCACAGTATGATGTTCCCTGTCCAATTAGGTGTTAATGCACTCAAACCCGCCCCCCGGGAATGAGTGGCAACCGCGTAAAGGTCTGCTAGTGCTTTTCTGGCTCAAGTTCATAACTCGGGGATCTAGAATGCTAAAACCACAGTATGATGTTCCCCGTCGAATTAGGTATTAATGCTCTCAAGCCCGTTTTCCGGAAAAGTGTGGTAACCGCGTAAAGGCCTGCTAAAGCCTTTTTGGCGTAAATTCATAACGAGTTCTGTTTCAAAAAAGGCCGTTGTCATCACACGACAGTGCAATGGATCCTAAACGCAAGCTGGAACGCACCAGGCGAGCCGGTGCGATCATAAGTTTTTGCACCAGACTTGAAATAATTAGGCTAACTGCATGAGTGGTTGTTTTTTATGCGTTTTTGCCTATATGCAAATTGCAAAAAAGCATATTGGGACGCCCTGTCTCTGCGT